TTAAACTAAGACGACATTTGTCGCAGGCTTCCCTTGATATCTACGCTGTGCAAATTCGTTTGTTCACGACCACGACCGAGCGCGGTTCAAAGCCAACGCTTCCGCAGTCAAGCGCGAGTTATGTGACAACACGTAACCCCAGTCTTTTCACCTGAGGCAGGATGTGACACTGCAACAGATATAACAAAATTCTGACTCGAGGATGAGAGTAAAACAAAGAAAAGAGAGCTTACCATCGCCTCAACGACAATGCCATTCAACGTTGAGCAATCGAGCTAAGCTGTCGACCTGTACGGACAAAGTAAACGTATAATTAAAATATTAGTCTGTGTTCCTGTCACTTAACTCGCGCGCTCCCATTGACCATAATTCAAAAACGAAACTTCAACCAACATTTTGGTAAAGAAAAAAGATTGTTCAGCAACCCCCCGATTCCGGGTGTTACAGGAGTTATGAGACACCCTGTATATCATTTTGATTACTGTTTTTCCTATATCACATCTGATTTAAATTTTGACAGGTTTAGAACGGTGCTCAATAGATCGGTATTCAATGGCTCGGTGTTCCTCGGTATCATTAGTTAATGCTCCAGCAGCACTTCCTTGGGAAATCGGACATACACTACACAGTGAATCTCCGCCAACGTGAGGTATGTAAACATTTAATCTTTTTATATTTATATAACTAATATCGGAGCACAACAATGCTTATCCAACAGATCCGATATAGCTGGCATAGCGAAACAGAATAGAAACAGGCGTTATACAGAGTGTCTCAGGTCGAGTAGTTTATAACACTAATCTGCCGCCCCAAATGCTAAATCGTCAGACTCATACAGTATCCCTATTTAATTTTGTCTATTTCCATCGAATACCCTAAGAATCTGAAGTCGTATAAACATGCTACATCCAGGGTTAACCTACACCGAGGTTAAGTAGGTAATTAAAATTCATATAAACTTATGTCCAAAAATGCTTTACTGAAGAGTTATAGGTGTTCAAAGATTTTTATAATAAATGTTCAAAATTTCTTCTTTCTGTATAAATATAATACACGACTAAAAATCAAACAGACGTTACAACGAGTGATAGAAGCTTTCAAGCTGTAAGTGAAATGATGTAAACATTAACTGTCGATGGGAATTATTTGTGTCTATCTGTAATTCTGTATAACGAGTCTTAAGAACAACTTTCTGAAGATCCTAACCTTTTTGGACACGCTGTATATAAAAATAAATAATAATTTATGCTACTAAATAGTGTGCTCAATTAGAATTTCTCAATAAGTGATTTAGCAATGAGGACAACTTTTTCATGGCTAGATGAAAAAGTAATTTGAATACATAGGGTTATCCAAATTGAGTGTCACATCTTCAAATTGAAATAAAACGCAAAGGATTTGATTTTTGTATGGTTACTTTATTTTAATAGAAAGTCTATTTTATGACATTAATTATGAAAATCAATATCATTCAACAGTTCTTCTCCGCTTTTTTTCGCGAGCTTGATACATTTGACTAAATTTAATTTTTCACGAGAAGACACCAACTGCCACCAAGATCTGATGATTTAACACCATTAGATTTTTTTTATGGGATTTATGGAAAGTGAAATTTACGCCAATAATCCAAACTATTGACGAGCTGAGCAACAAAATCACAATCGCTATTGATGAAACTGAATTTTGCTTGTATGAAAATACAATGAAAAATTGGGTGAAATGCATCAGGCTCGTGAAAAAAGCCGAGTAGGACATTTAAATAATATTGTCTTTGATAATTAATGTCATACAGTAGACTTTGTGTTAAAATAACGAAACCATACAAAAATCACATACTTCCCGTGTTTGCGATTTTAGCTTGGTCAGCGAGGTTAGCATAAACACGCCTGCGTAACGTTCACAATAGTTGTCCAACGACTACGTCAGCAACCGAAGAGGGATGATTGCTGAGGTCATTCTAAACAATTTTTTCCTTTGCCAAAATGTTGGTTAAGGCTCCGTTTTCGAGTTATTAACGAAAAACACTGGCCAATCAGAGCGTGCCTTTAGCGCGGACCGAACCACGAGAGTGTTGGGTATGCTCTGCGTTCAAGCGTTGGTCGTGATCAAGTACATCAACACCACGTCGGTATAATAGGATTTGTCGGGCAGTCATCGAATTATGAATAAAAAAAAGAAAAGAATAATAGTATCGAATTATTAATTACTCATGAACAACGAATAAAGTAATGAATCGTTGTTCATGTAGAATGAATAAATCGAATTGATCCAACACTTTTATTTGTTGTTTGATATGAATTAGAAAAAATACTTTGTACTCAATAAACATGTTAAATTTGAAAAAATTCAAAAATAATGTAAATGAAACTTACCCATTCATCCGTAAATGATCCAGCTGATCTCCAGACGAGATCATTGAACTCACTCAACCACACGGTCACTATCACTTTTCACAGAATTTCACTAGGTCGTCCGAAAGAGACCGATTCTTTCAAGTTTTTATTCACTGTCACGTTAATGTTGCACTGGACACAAATGAAAAACATGTAATATACGACGTTACTGGTCTTCCTTTCCATCGTCAAATAAGACTATTAGGTTGAGCGTCTGCCAGGTTTTTTTTCGGTCTTTGTCCTTTTCTACGTTCGGAAATATTCAAAAGATCCACACGAGCCTCTCTCGCTTACTCTCGGTTACCGATAATAACAGATTTATGGCCACGAACCATGACCTATTTCCAATTGTAGAAAAAGACAAAGAGCGAAACAGATTTTGCAGACGCTCAAGCTAGCAGTCCCATTTGAAGTTGGAAAGGAAGACCAGTAATGTCGTGAAAACGTTCCAAGTAGTGCAGAATATTACGCTTTTCATTTGTGCGCAGTGCAACAGCAACGTGACACAGTGAATAAAAATGTTTATTTACTTGAAAGAGTGACCGTGTGGTTGAGTGAGTTCAATGATCCCGTCTGGAGATCAGCCGTTCGCCGTAAAATGTTCCCTCCTGGAGTGGTTAGGGTCGGCACAATGACCCAATGACAGCAAACCATTTTCATATTGCAACTGGATCATTTACGGACGAATGGGGACGTTTATTAGTTATTCCATTTCAATCCTTTTTTTATTATGTGGAAACTTTTTCATTTCCAAATCGTGTATTCGTTTTTGCATATTTTTTTCAAAAATGATCACAAGGTGTTTTTTTTTAAATTCCAATCGTACAACTAATAAAAGTGTTGGATCAATTCGATTTATTCATTCTACATGAACAACGATTCATTACTTTATTCGTTTTTCATGAGCAATCAATAATTCGATACTATTATTTTTTACCTTTTTTTTGATTCATTATTTGATGCAACATCTGCTCAACGAATCCTATTATACCGACGCGGTGCTGATGCACTCGGACCACGACCACGACTTGAACGCAAAACATACCCAACACTCTCGTGGTTCGGCCTGCGGTAAAGGCGCGCTCTGATTGGCCAGTGTTTTTCGTTAATAACTCGAAAACGAAGGCTTAACCAACATTTTGGCAAAGGAAAAAGTTGTTTAGAATCACCTCAGCAATCATCCCTCCACGGGTTCTACCCCAGTGTTGGGACACCTTGTATATTGAAATCACTTTTTCATTCATTGAAGAAGTTGTTCTCATTGCTAAATCACTTTATCAAAAACTGACCAACTACCGCATAAACTACCAAGTTGTATCGAATAAAGTAAAATCAAATACTTTATTTATTTTATTAATCGACGTTTTATGATTTCAGTTAGGGATGCCGCCACGCAAACGGAGGACTTGGGATCTCCAACGCATGCTAGTTAGTACAGCGTGGCGGCAGAATGGCATCCGCTAGTTCACCGTCTCCAAATTCAGCGATCACCTCGATGTCAGTCTTTCCGTGACAATTCATTTTCAATGGCAGCGGAATTGCCGTTTTATGTTGAAACGATGCAGTTGGAAGAAATAGAAAATGGATGTAATCGTCGACTATACTTGGAGAGCACGCACTTCAAAAGTGTACCCGACCTGATTCGGGACGTGAAACTTAATTGACATATAATCGCGAACGTTTACGTGTTATCGAAGGTAAATTGTACTAGATTCACTGCAGAAGCTTTGGCAATTAAGAACCGAGTTTTCGAAAGAATATTAATATTTTATATTAATCAAGATTATAAGATTTTGTATTATAGGTTAATAATATTTAACCGAAAATGATAACGCATACTATGTTGAAACTAAGAAATAAGATTAAGAAGACAGATTTTCGTGATTCGAATTGAAAATTTAAACACCAATGCATTGCATTCAATCGTCGAATAAAGTAATAAACAGAGTAATTATGTAAAACTTATTAAGTTTTAACATTTTTCCATCACTTCAGAATAATTGCAAAGTAGAGAATTTTTGATATTATTGAATATTAACATCGTCATTATCTCGACGATCACATCGTTGGAACATGTACATTTATCACTCGTCACACGTACATACTTATTTATAATAACCGCACAAACTACGGATATAAAATAGTATTTAAGCAGTTATCGGACGTACAATATTTTTTAAATCGTTCCTTTTCTAAAGGTAAACTTTCAACAATAGGTTGTAGCGATTGTTCTACAATTTGTTGTTTAAAATTTTTATATTTATTTGTTATACATGAATTGTAGGTAAAAATTAATTTAGAGTCGTAGCTCAGGAGCCAACAGAATTGAAACTGATTGTGAGAAGCTTTGGACGATCTTTGTCTTTCGTGCATAGAGAAACAAGGACAAACCGATATTCAAGCAGTCATGTTGATATCAAAACAGTGGCGGACTAAGCAGCCGTGTAGGGCCCCGAAGCGGCCCTGAGGTCTCATAATGTCTTTTCATTAGGGTTCGAGGAAAATTACGGGTTTTTTTTTGGTTGTCCAAATATCATAATAATAACAGAGCTTCACCAAAGACTCTGTTATTACACATAATATTATAGTCAACATAACGATATACATATGTATACACACCAATTTTTGATTACTTTTCCTTCTTGTTGATAACTTAATGTGAGTTTTCTTTAAACTTTTTTTTTCCAACTTGAGTTTGAAGGTCCAGAAATTTGAACCACAGTATCTTGGGATTGGGGAGCCTCCGCTTGACTTGATCCGCCACTCTGTAAAGATGGTTCAATTTTGCAATTTTCTTTTTTAAAATAGTCTGTATAATTATACAGAGGTATACAGAGCCTAACTTTCCATTTTGACTTTTAAAGGGGATCGTACAGAGTAACGGATCGAAAATATGGGTATTTTTGAGAATTTTTAAAAACATAATAATATAACATACAATTTTTCTGTTTTATGATACATAAATTAGCTGTATTGGAGAAAATATGAAAAATGTTTTTAATAGTTTTGGTAATGTTCTGGCTGATATACACAATTTTGAAACGACCGTCTCTAAAAGAACGTTGTCGTGGCGTTAACAACAAATTGGTCTTGCACTTTGTTTGACACACAAAATAATCAAAATATTTTAGAAACTACATATGATTGGCTATTACAGCATGTAAAGAAATTAACAAATGTTGAAAAATAACAAAATAGCGAACATATGTAAAAATATTTTGAAATTTTATTAATTGTTCGTATGATAAAAGTAAAGAAAAATTAAATCATTTTTATCAATCAAAAAACGGATACGGCTTTTTACAAAATGCAATCTTGAGGACGACAATTGGATTTGTTAGATTTTTTATTTGCTGTCAACGTGATTGAAAAATGTCATTTCGAGAAAAAGCACTTAAAATTTGATTATCAGATTACTTAATTTGCCGAATTTAGTCTTAAAGCTGTATAGGCATATTCTTGGGATGTATATCTATGTGAAAAAACTGCTTTTTCTGACCCCTTAGTGCAGGGCTTCGAATTAACTGCTCTTTTCGACCAGTTTTCAGAGGCTACGCCCCTTTCTTCCCGCCCCTCGCGAGGGCCGTAGTCCTCGAGGCAGCTCAGGCGCGTGCCGCATTCGTATGGCTACACTCGTATTAATAGGTTTCCACATCACTTATGGGGTACGATTCATACGGCACGCGTCTGAGGTGCCTTGAAAACTACGGCCCTCGCGCGGGTCACGGCGAACGGCGGGAGGAAAGGGGTGTTGCCTCTGAAAACTGGCCGAAAAAGCAGATAATTAGTGTGTACGACCCCCTTAAAACTTTATAAAAAGTACCTTTTTATAGACACAAATTTTTTTACAATTTTTCCCCAAAACGCTTTACTTTACATATAATCGTTTAATTTTGTATCTTTATTTAAGATTTATTTGGATTAACAGTGTTATAATTGTATAAGCATTCGATTTGTTCATAATACAGTAACTAATATTGACATAGAACGTAAAGTTGGTACTAATAACCTCTCCATAATGTAAACGAAAAGTGTGTATAGAATATTTGTTAATACAGTGGACTCTCGTTATATTGTCACCAATGAGTCCATAGAAGCGGAAAAGTGAAGCTTCCAAACTCTGATTTGAAGGGTGGAGGGTAGATAAAAATGTATCATTTTCATAGACTATGATGGTGGAAGGATGACACTGGTACGTGGCAATATAACGAGAGTTTACTGTAATCTCAATGCACTCAATGAGTGAATATGTTAAGGGGGTAGACACGAGTAATGCAGCGATGTGACATTACTGGCAAAAATGGGCCTAAAAAGGGGTTTACGGGAATACACTTTTCGTCCTTATATGAAGAGATTTAGGGCTGGGTGAGGGCTCATTCGAAAGAGGAAGGTCCAATGCAGAGCGGTCTGGTCATGGTTCAACGAGATTGTGTTGATACCTAATAATATGAGTGTCCAAAGTAGAGTAAAAATCGACAAAATACATTCGCAGAATCCAAGGTATTTTTAGGTTACTAAAAGAGTTTTGTGACTCAAACGGTGACCAGAGCGCCCTGCATTGAACCTTCCTCTTTCGAATGAACCCCTATTTACATCAAAATCTTCTCATATAAGGACGAAAAGTGTATTCCCGTGAAAGCATTCCCACAGATCAGTTCCGCCATTTTGTGGATAATACAGAGCAAGTCGCGTGACAAATTTAGTTCAGTTAGTAGTTAAAAGGTAGCGTCGAACTAAAAAGGCTGCCGATTAGGAATCGTCGCCAGAATCAGGCGTTAGCTTGGTTACGTCACTCGAACTGTGTCTGCGAAGGCAAGCGGAAAAGGGAACAACGTCCGAACGCTGAGTGATACGCACTACAGTCATACTGCCCTTCCCTCATTCTGAATGTTCAGATTGTCCTTTCTCGCTAAGTTTTGACTGACGCCCGTCTGGATTTTTCACAACGCCCCATAAGAAACCTCGCTCAAAGAGGAGGTATAACGAGAGAAGAATATACCTCCTCTTTGCAATAATTCTGCAAATGTTTACATAAATTGTGTGTGAGGTATTCATTTATTTAAATTATTTGCATTCACTCAGAATATTGACTAACACTCCTTTGTATTTTTTATTAGTTTCGAAAAACAAAGTTGTTATAGGTCTCTGAAAATATAAACGTCACGCAATTGAGACAAGTTATATCTTAAATTTGGTAAGAGATAGGAAAAAGCTATTAATAACAGTTGAAAGGTATGACTTATGAAAAATATGAAATATCTCAAGAAATATTAGTTTTTTAAACATTGTACTGTTAGACATAGGCGCGTTAGCGAAATAGAAGAGAGGGAATAGTAGAGAGGGGAGAGAAGGAAATATAGACGCGAGCACGGCGGAACGAAGCGATTTTAGTTATGTTAATTATGTTATCGCGAGTGAGTTATGATTGTATATTTTTGTGTTTTTTGGGAGAAATAAAAGGTCTTGTGTTAAAGAACTTGAATTCTGATCTCGGGAGACGAGGCCCCTCCGTTTATTCTCCGTATATCGTTCTAATAGTACCATAGAATTTTTTTATGCAGAATGTTCCAAGGAGTTGATACGAGTAAAAAAGATGTGCAATTCTATTTAAATAAAAAGTGCATCTGCATTGTTTTAGTGCATCGTTGCATTCACGAAGAAAATGAAGTCATAGAAAAATAGACTTTTACATGATCAGCTTTTTCCTATCTCTTACCAAATTCAAGATATATGTAACATGTAACCCGCCCCAATTGCGTGACGCACCCTGTATGCTTTTATCAATTAAAAAACATTTATTTAAAGAAGTTAATAACTTTTTCTAAAAATAATTCTCAGATTGCACGTTCCTTCGGTTCTTTAGAGTTGGCATATATTTTTCAGCAGCGATACGTGCTACGGTGAGTTATATAAAATCCACGCGTTTGGTCTGTCAGAATTTACCGGAGCGGGATAATTCTATCATTTGGGTTGAAAGAAGGATAGCATGATCACCGTACATCTCACTCTAAACACGCGCCAATGTTTGTACTTACAAATACTTGAGGCACTGTTACCTTCCTAGATCGTGTTGCGCGCACGCTTCCGAAATTCATATGGCACGACAGCTCGGAATTAGTCCTTTCAAGTTCGTAACAGAACACGCAAGTGGCTCCACCAGGCCCAACGAGAAAACTACTGTAATACCGACCTGCCAAATCGGAGAGGTCACGTGCCGTGTCTACCCCTTTTTGAAGTTTTCTTTGAAATATAAATTAACTTGCTTTCTTGTGTAAAAGCAAAGCAATCTCAAGTTTGTAATAAATATTGAAAGCAGAAAAAGTATTTATCTGATATTCATGGGACGATACGTTGAAACAATTGTATAAAAACACGTTACCGAAAAATTATAAACGTTATCTTTACTTTTATACAAACACATATGTATTATATTGTTTATATTCGTTTAATTAGTAGATTTATTTATACAGCTTTTTTATTTTACCGTTGTATCATTTTATGGCTGTTTTTCGGAAAACTGCCATGCTCTGATTTAGATGAAATTTTGCAAGTAAGCTTCTTTTTAGGAGAGGAAACATCTGTGAGAATGGTTTTTGATGATGCGAAAAAAAATTTTTTACCATTTTGATGTCATTCCCTACCTTACCTGTTTATGTATACAGGGTGTCCCATTTTAATCAATAAATGCGATTATCTCAAGAACTATTCGTTATTTGAAAAAATGTTTCATAAAAAACTTATTCTATGTTGAGGGGGACGTAACACCAGCGTCGCTATTTTGTTTGTAAGTGTACGCTTGAAGGTCATATTTTTTTTTTTTAATGGAATTATATAATTTTTTATGCACTATTCGATACATCTCGGTATTCTGAATAAAAATGTATTGACCTATTTATTTACAATATCTATTTACAAATGCTCGAATACGTTACTATGCAGATCAATACATTTTTGAATGAGTCGCTTAATATTAGCTTGAACATTCATAAGTATTTCCAGAGTGACACATTTGAATGCATTAAATATTTTCTCTTTTATATCTTCGATACTTGTCGGCTGACTGTCACATTTTCCAAGCACCATAATCATGTCGACAATTTCAGTAGGCAGATAATCACACATTTTGCTTGCTGTCCCTAACGATACTGGTACGATATTGAGAGACCTACGTTTGGGACATCGATATGTTTGTTTATATTTTGATGACCGCTACGCGGAACCGCATTTGCCTACTTTTCATAGAATACTACGTGAATGTACACTTACATACTTAATTATTCGCAATATTAAAATTTAACATAATTCAGTTCAACATAAATAGGTCAATACATTTTTATTCAGAATACCGAGATGCATCGAATAGTGCATAAAAAATTATATGATTCCATTTTAACAAATATGACCTTCATGTCTCCTTCATGCGTACACTTACAAACAAAATAACAGCGCTGGATTACGCCCCCCTCAAAACAGAGTAAATTTCTCATGAAACATTTCTTCAAATAACGAATAGTTCTTGATATAATCGCATTTATTGATTAAAATGGGGCACCCTGTATAAGTACTTACTGTCTACATGGGAATACAGTCTGAATAGGTTGGGTTAGTTTTTGGTGGGGGCGGTAATATGGAATACTCTTAATGTATATACTATCTACATGGAAATGCTGTTTGCAATGTATATTCCGCAGGTTCGAAGGTGCGAATTATGTGTTTGGAACAGTTCGCCCGTTACACTGCGCTGTGTCGACAAGGTAGGGAATGACGTTAAAATGGTAAACAATTTTTTTTCGAATTGCCAAAAACCATTTTCACAGATATTTCCTTGCGCAAAATGGAGTTTATTTGCAAAATTTGGCCTGAATCGGAGCATGACGGTTTTCCGAAGTTTCTCCCATTTTATACTGTAAATGAATAAGGCAATTGTTTCGATTTTTGAAGCGATTACCAGAAATTTAAAATCCTGTCGCAACATAATATAATAAATTGTTTTAAAAATTCGAACACATCCTCTATATTATTAAACATTAAGTATATTAACTTATTTAATGATATTGAACGAAAGAAAATTTCGATTAGATAAATGTGTATTACTGAAACTTGGTATACTAATTTTGGTCACAAACATTTCGCATCAAAAATAAATTATTTCCTTTTGCAAATGTTTATCTCATACCACTGATAAGAGGAATCGTAGAAGTAAAATTTCAGAGGACTTGCAGTCTGAGTTTTTCACGAATTCCTATATTAATAAACAAATACAAATTGCAATTCATATGAAACAATATAATGTATTACCAGTACTAGAAATTAGGAACATTTCTGACATTATATAAAAGAATGTAATTATTCGACGATCAAAGTTACCACCGAAACAAAAATAAGGTGCATTTGTTGAAAATAAAACTGAACGGTGGTTACATGCAGAGTTTGACAAATCATGGTAAATTGTACTTACCAAACAAAAACGACGCTCGCCTGACAATGTATGAAAAGTAGGCTTTGTATAAAATGCCTAGGCAATATATAGGATACCTGGGTTTTGGGACAAAGTATAAAACGATAAATATTTCACATATACAATGCCAAAAGCCAAACCGGCAAAGTATAAGATACCCTTATTTTTTTCAGTAAGACAGTTCTGTATTTTATTTGATAATTTCTTTTTTCATCTATGTATTTTTAATGAAGGCTTTTTCTTGACTTTCTTTTCGAATTTTACTTTTTTATGAGAAAGACAATTAATTGCAATTCTAAATTAAATTCTTTCCTTCCCTGTTACAACAATTAGGTTCATATTTGTTAGAGATGCTGAAGTTCTGTTTTTCAATGCGGACGCTTTATCTAGGTTCTAACACAACGGAACCTTCCTTATCTACTGCGTCTATATTTTTCGTTGCCTTTTTCGCTCTTCTCTTGATTTTTTCCCGAAAAAATCAGATAAAGGCTATAATATATCCGACGCGTCTGGGAAGACTCATCGGATCGTGACCAAACTTGGTATGGTAATAGACCTTGACCTCCACAGTAACCACCTTGAATATTATTCGGTGCACGCTTTTGGTTTCCGAGATATGAAGTTCGAAAGTTGGGTTTTGGACTTAGTCAAAATTCGATTTCATGGGAAATCTAAACTCATCCGATCGTGACCAAACTTGGTACGGTCTGGTTGCCATAGCGACTCTTCGGAGGAGATTACTGTTAACTTTTGAATCAAGAGAAGAGCGTTTTTTTCCTATCGGAAATGTAATTGGTCTCTCGGTGCTTCGCTTATAATCGCATCGTCACCATAGACATATGAAAATATAGACCGAGCATAAACTGCTACTTTAAGCAAGGGGGGATCTGATATTCGGGACGAGTAAGGTACTCGCCTGGCATCGATTTATTCCGGCAAGACTCGGTAGTATTCGGCTCACATTTCACATGTACCCTGAGTTGCATTGAACTTGTCGCAGTGAAGTTGGCCACGCATTCACTCACCGACGCGGCGTGAATGCGTTAGTGAAGTTGGCCACGCATTCACTCATCGACACGGCGTGAATGCGTAGTGAATTTGTAGCCAACTTCACTGCGACAAGTTCAATACAACTCATCGTACGAATGCGAAAAGCCGAACATACCCGAGTCTGCGCTTACGAAAATAGTCGAAGTCAAATGAGTTCCCCCCTTACCGCGATTATCAGTTACCGCTCATACAAAGGTTCGGTCTATATTTTCGTATGTTTACGATCGTCACTGCCCGGTTCACCCGTTCTCGTGTTCGTGCAATAATCCGATTCCGAAAAGGGACATCTTACTGTTTTTCTTATATATATACATATATTTTAAGTGAATAAACGTAATTATAAAATCGATACTCTATTAACTTCCACAATTCCAATAACATTTTATTTTTTCTTGTTATAATAATAAGAAAGTCTTATATTTTGTATTTCAATCTTTTCCTTATACGTCTTTTCAATAATAACCTCTTTATTACTCTGTTTTAATACTTTGCTTAAAGAGCATTTGTTATTCTACATAATGCCTAGGTATTACATACTACATACAATGCCTAGGAAATTAAAATAAGTATTTGGAAAGGTATTTGGAAATACCTAGAAAATGGTAGCTAATTTTACAAGTTACACTCTGTATATGTATAGGTGAAATTACTCAGGATATTGATCTTTATAACATATATCAAAATCATTGAAGTAAGTGAGGTGTATCTTTTCTTCGATTATTACTAAAAATTTAATAAATGTTACATGAAGTATTGTTAAAACTGCCATCATATAAATTCAAAAAGGATGTATGTATGTACATTTAAAAACACTTAGCCTAAATGTAAACTGTATAGAGTGTCAATAATATTTCATAGGATTCACAGAACTGTATGGATGGTGTTAAACATTCAATTACTTAGGATTTTAAGAAAATACTTCCATACGGGAAAATCTGTAAAATTTTCAAGAATTTTAATAGAGTTAGCTTTTCCATGTAAACAACAGACTTCTGTATATATAAATATTCTCCTTTCTTTACATTTATTTAATACAGAGTACATTTCCTAATTTTTCTTCTTTTTTCACTCTTGAAGAACCTTTTCTATTTGAAACATAATTTTTCAAACAAAACATTTGTTAGTATAAAAGAAACGGTTGGACCTTGAAGACGAAGTGCCGACCTCAATCAATATGCTAGGAATCTTTGGCTGAATGATTACTCGGATTTCCTCAAACGGTGCTGTATTTAGGAACGTCCAGTAAGGTATGGTAGCTGTTGTGAAACCAAACTTTGCTGATTTAGAAATGTGGAA